CAGCCCCAAGAGGGGGGGGGGGAGGGGGGCGTGGCTGCTTTGTCAGCGGCAGGCGGGGTCGAGGGTGTGAGTGCAGTGTCTGTGAGGGCCGTTTGGCAGAAGCATCTGACACTTGACCCCGCTGCTCCTGCTCTTTTCAGCTCATTCACTCTGCCTGCTCTCTATTATTAAGTAAAATTAGCTCCATGCTCGTCCCCCAGGCTCCACCTCCTCCGGGGTCACAGGCATCACCCCACCATTTTGCTCCATTTTGTTGAACCTAATGAGGTATACGGCATACAAGTGAAAGTCCTGCACATCTTGTGGCATGTCACTTGTTTAAATCTGAAAACCAGGCAGCTGCCACCTCAGTAACAACATGATGGATGAGACTGAAACTTGACTGAATGAAAGGAGCACTCGTATGAAAAACCCCGACCAAATGAGAAACTCGTTGTCCAGAAACCTCCCAAAACGTTGAGCCCTAAAGTTTTGATTCTGCTCTCCTGTAGTATTTCATCAGGACACATGTCTTCACTGGGCTTTTGGAGACAGTCATCACACGGTGACCTTTGTGTGTTCTTCATCTCTTTTTCCTCCTGTATTTTCTGTGACCTTTTCTACAGCATCAGTTCGGCTGTGAGATGACAGAGACTCGCAGCTCATTACTTCTCCACAAACCCCAACAAAGTGAATAGTGCAGGTGTCCAACAGTGCGGGACAGACAGGAGGCGGTCTGTAATGACATCAGTCTGAGTCTCATCTCCTCCCTTCTGTATCCCCCTCTCTCTCTCTCTCTCTAGGAGCTTCTGAACAAACTTCTGAAGAAAAAGAAAGACTTTGATTTTTAGAAACGTCTCAGTGCTGCACAATGAAGCACCAATTGCATTTGCTCTCTGTGGTTTTCTGCACTTTGGTCCTCCTGCCCCATGGCCTTCTGGGAACACCGGCAAGGAAAGAAAAGGATGATGAAGCAGGAAGCTCTGTGCCACTTCAGAGGGTGAAACGAGGCTGGGTTTGGAACCAGTTCTTTGTCCTGGAGGAGTACACTGGACTAGAGCCACTTTATATCGGCAAGGTAGGTGGTATTGTACAAATAAGATAAAAATAAGATATAAATTTGTTCATCACCTTTAACAAAACTTCAACACTGTTTTTTGTAAAGTCAACTCAGTTGATGACAAAAAAAAACTTTTAGCAACCTCATTAGCTTTTTCATTTGCAGTTGGGAACAACCCAACGCAACCCAGAAAAATTAGTTTTTTGTTTGTTTTATTTTTTACTGTCAAATCTTTGAAAATCCCAGGAGAACTTGGGAGTCTAAAAGGTCTTGAGGAACAACAACCAGAGCAGTAACTAGTCTTCTTTCATAACCATTTCAAGAAAAAAAGTGTTTGTCATGGGTCTGCAGTCGGCACCAGCTTCCAGTCTTTTCTTCTGTTCCATTTAACATTCTGCTGCGAGTCTTTTCAACCAGCACATCCTAATTTCTGCCATCCTCTGAAGGAAGTAAGTAGCAGTGACAGGCAGGAGCCACTTAGAGGCAGAAAGCCATTGTAGAGTTTGACAAAAGCAGGGGGGAGACATAATGCATGCCTCCACCCTGTAGGGGGGAGGGGGGAGGGAGGAGTGGGGGGTCAGCATCAGCGCAGTCTGCTCTGCCTCAGCTCTAGGTAAGAATTTAGTATTCCGAAGCGCTTCACTGTCAGAGAGGTTGGGCTTCAGACTGAGGCCTGAGACTGAGCAGGTAATTGATGGCCTGAGCTTCAGACTGCAGCCAAACCAGAAAGAAAGAAGGTGTCAGAGCAGGAGGTGATGACACTCTGAGTCCTGGTGCAATTAGGTCTAGTGATTAAAAAACAATCAACTTTTTTAAATGCTCTTGTGAAATTATTAAGATATCACAGAGCTGACTCTTAGTCATACGGTGGTTAATCTTTTAGTCAACAATTTTTACTCATTTTTTTCTCCTTTTTGCGGTGTGTGCTACATTTTAGCTTGCTTTAAGCAATTTTATGTTGTTACTTTATAGCTCTCTGCAACTGTAGCCATTTAATTTTTTGTGTGTGTTTTAAATCTTGTCTTTCTTTACAAAGACTTTAACAGTAGAAATTACTTTTCTTAGGACTACATAAAATGTAGAAAAGAAGAAGCAGAATAAAGTGAACTAGGAGAAGACAGCACCGGATATTTTAAACCCAGGTTTTAAAAAAAACAACATTCCTCTCAGGAGCACACTGAGAATTTCAAGGACATTGTGTTTTAAGTCACAGCTACCTTTCTCACTTTGCCGACGCCAAAAAAATGTTATTGCGCTTAAAAGTTAGACCTTGGTCTGATGAGGTCTGAGTGTTGGTAAGTGTTGGCAGGTGTGTCCTTCAGACAGAGGGTTCAAGTTCTGACGTATGTTTCTTCTAATGATAGTTAATATGAAGGTTTGCTACTGAAGTCTTTCTAAGTACAAACTCTAATAAACCATAGCCTGGTCACCTGTTGATTATACCAGACAGACATCAACAGCTGAATATTCCACTCTGCCTCTGTGACAGCAGGAAGTGCTCACCATCATGCAGCACAGACCCTCTAACAGAAAAGTGAGACCTGATTGCACATCAGTGGGCAACGTTTGCACTTAAAGGACACAAAGGTGTCTGATTGCCCCGGGGCCTGTGGCAACAAACAAGCAGGAGCAGTGATTAGAGACGTAATCACTGCCGCACTAGAAAAAATACACACTTCACACCAAACATCAGCGTCTGCAGAGCAATTCAACCAAAACTCAAATGTTTACATTATACTATGTGTAATATAATATATATATATACAGAGCATGTTTATGCAACTACATTAAAAATATAATTCACAGTGGAACACAGTCATACACTCTAGTTAACGGTGTTAAATGTCCTGCTCGAGTCAGTGTGTGTGTGTGTGTGTTACATGTCAGACAGTCACAGGGTTCGTTAGATTATGGATAATGAAGTGATTCAAAAGATAGACAGTAAAGAATGGCGTCTAAATATAGTCAAACCTTATTAGATATGACATGAAACAAACATCTAAAGGAGACATTTATATGTTGTTTTTTTATTCTATCTTAAGGAGTGAAGTAACAGTAACGGTGGGCTGTGGATTCAGTTCTTGGTTTAAACAGGTTCAGACTGAAAACTTCAAGCTGTTTCCTCCAAACCTTAATTCTGTTCAAAGGCTCAACATGTGGGTTGGATTTCTGTCTACATTACGTATGAACTATATTTCTTAATGATGTGGTTTTATCTGTGTTTTTTTCTTTCTTTTTTTGACTGATCCACTCCTCATTTTTCCACTGCAGACTTTAACATATGGGAATGCTTTTCCTTCTTCCTGAGTTACTCCCCCTAAAAACCCACAGACGTGTCCAGAATAGATTAAAGTCTTTGGCTATGTGAACTTAGCAATTCCATTTTTTATTTCAGCTCCACTCAGACATGGACAAAGGAGATGGATCTATTAAGTACATCCTGACAGGAGAAGGAGCAGGAACCACCTTCACCATTGACGACAGCACAGGTGATATTCACGCCATCCAGAGGCTGGACCGGGAGGTGAAGGCCCAATATGTGCTACGTGCTCAGGCTAGAAACCGTCTGACAGACAGACCTCTGGAGCCAGAGTCAGAGTTCATAGTGAAGATCCAGGACATCAATGACAACGAACCCAAATTCCTGGATGGACCCTACATCGCAACTGTCCCAGAAATGTCCAAAATAGGTACAAAGACGGAGGCTGTGTCTGGTGCTTGGAGCTGCTCCAACCACAGATGAAGAAAAAAAAATGGAATCCTTTCATGAATATGTTATAATTGGCATAACTGATTGCTCATTTCCTTTGCTTGGTTCTACACAGGAACATCTGTGATCCAGGTGACCGCCACAGATGAAGACGACCCAACCTACGGCAACAGCGCTCGTGTGGTCTACAGTATTCTGGAGGGTCAGCCATACTTCTCAGTTGATGCCAAAACAGGTATAAAACTCACAGTTGCCTTGAGCGATTGTTAAATGAAAACAAAAAAATATTAAGGAATGGAAATTTAGAGAGTGGACTGGAGTACGAAGGTTTGCTGCGTCACACTGTCACTGTTCTGGTTTCCAAAACCAAAATGTAACAGTCACTGTTCATGTGCACAGAGAAAATATATAGACCCTGATATTCAGAGCCTGTAAAGTTTGTTTCCAGGAAAACTAACACAACAATGACCTGTCTGGCCAGAGTGTACGGTAGAAACAGGCAGAACAACACAGCAGGAGATGAAGAATCTCCAGTTATTCTCAAAGGAAATAATGTCAGTGGTGACTCTGGAGAAACTAGAGAACAGTAGAATAAGAATAAATCATTAGCTTTTTGTTGCTAACACGGTGCACCGGTTCACTGATGTCACCAAGGTCCTGAACCGGACTACGATCAGAACAACTTTACTGCGACTTGGGTCGACAGTTTGTTTCCTTGACAAAGACGGAGAGACTGTGGTGGTATTTTCACTGCTCGTGGGAAAAGTATACAACTTTACATAAACCTGTATCAGCGACTTCCCCGAGACAAGCTCAACACTGACTGTTGACCACTGTCACCTCGTTAGGGATTGTGCAGCTGAATAAATCCATGCAGGAGAAATTCTGACACCATTGTGTTGAGGCTGTTCCAGCTGTGTGTACTACAGAATATTGTTATACAGCTAATACTGCATATTGCAAATGACAACAGCAGTGACAGTTGGGGCCAAGGCATCCAGAAAAATCCATTAGCTCTCTAAGTCAGTGGCCATTGTTTACCCCAGCTGCCTGCTCTCCTTGTTTGTCAGCGCTGGAATCTGTTGCCAAAAGCTTTCAGACAACACTCCCTGTCAGCTGACAGTTTTTCTCCTGCTGTTTTTGGAGGTTCATCCGTCGATGAAGAGCCAACATGGCTACAGCTATCAATCAACCTACCTCCTCTCTCAGCAGCACGGTGGGCTTTGTGTTGGCAGATAAAAACATACACGGCATACATCCACTTGACATAAGCTTTTCAAACTTTTTTAACAGACTTTAATGTCTGTATTCTTTAACACGGCCCACTAAGAACAGTTTATCTGAGAATCCCCCCCCCCCAAGAAAATGGTCCTGCTTGAGCAACAGTTTAGCAGTATGTTTGAGACTGAACCAACAAGTTTATCTGAGAATCCCCCCCCCAAGAAAATGGTCCTGCTTGAATTCATCACTCACAAATAAAAACCATCAACACGAATGAAAGAATATTCTTTTCAAAAGTACTGAATGACTATACATTGCTGAGCGTTTGTTACACACATTCCCCACTAGATGGCACTCTGAACATAGACTTTAACATGGTAGAGGTGACTAATAGGTTCATTTTACCCTGAAAACATTGTAACCAGCGACTCTAAATGTTTAGAAAATGGTCTGACTCACCACCTGTACCAGAAACACCAGTTGTTAACACCGCAAGGTTGCTCTGGTGTAACCAGCCAGGACGTAGGTCGTCTCCTCTATTGTCCAACTCCATGTACCGATCCCAGGGTTCCATACACTGTCAAACCTCAGAGGACGCTTTCATTTACTGCACATTAGAGGAGGGAGTCCTGTGTGGAAACAGATTCCTTTGTTATGGAGTCATATAAGTCAAACACCACAGAGTGAAAGTCATTCCAAACTAAAACCTTCAAACAATTGCTTTTTAGAGCTAAGAAAAAAAAAGTAAAGTGTCTTTAAGTTTCTATTTAATGTGGCTATTTGGCTAATGAAACCCAAACCCTGCCCACCGTGTCTTCATCAGGAAGACAGATGAGCGTCAAGGTTCCAGAGCTAGGCTGAAGCCCCGCCCACTCCTCTCTTCTATAGTTCTTTACTTTGAGTTTGAATCTGACTGGTTTCTGATGCAACCTGGACCAGTACTGACCTGATGCTACTGTCACAGTGAATCTGTCATTTTCTGCCTGTTGCACATGGTTTCCTTACAGCACAGTAACATTTGCACAATAGTCTGAATTATGGGTTAAAACTATGGGTTAAATAAAATCCTAAACAAAAGAGAACCAATGTGATAAAAACATTTACACATGGTGTTGTGGCCTCTCAGTTGAAGAAATACACATGAAACTATTTGGACAAATATATTTGGGTTACAGTTTGGGAACACAAACAAAGGCAGCGTGGACTTTTGTCTTGATTTGTGGAAGGCACCACATGTCATGGGCACATGAGTCAAACACAGATTAACACTGACTAATCCTAGTGACCACTGCTTTAATCCACCTATCTGTCTTCTCTCGTTTGGTATTTTTGCCTGGTTAGGTGTGGTGCGTGTTTCCCTGGCAGACATGGACAGAGAGACCAGAGAAAACTACACTGTTCTCATCCAAGCCAAAGACATGGGTGGTCAGATGGGTGGACTGGCCGGCACCACCACTGTTAGCATCATGCTCAGTGACGTCAACGACAACCCACCGATGTTTGAGCAAAGTAAGAAACAACAGAAACTTCCTGCTTCTGTACCTACACTTTTTTGTTATAAAAACAGAGTCATTTACCCACAAACTTCATCCTCCGTCCTATTCCCCCTTTGTTTGGGCACTGGTCTCCTCCACTATTTTTGATTTAGTCCACTTCTACCCATCTACCATGCTTCTGTGGTCAGACTGTTGGGTTGATGTTAGCAATAGCATCTAGACAAAGAAAAGAGAAAAGTAGCCCCCAGTGCTGTCAGCACTTCCACCTCCACTGCTGGTCCCTGGCCAATTAGTGGCATCAGTTTGGTGGAACTTTGATCAGTTTTGAAAAGCTTCAGGGATTCCCCCTCTGTCAAGCACAATGTGCAGTCATTTTGTCTCTGGACGGCAGGGATTTTGGTAAATTGGGCAGCTGTCACCTCATCTTTGAGGTTAAGCAGTTGATGAAATCCGTGGCGTCCCTGGAGAATGTACATAACCCTGTTCTCAGGTGTTTATGGAGCCGTTTATATCTGGCTGCAGCGAAAGTAATGGAAGTCTACAGGAAGTAATAAAAGTAATTTGGCTCCCCCTTGTGGACACAGAAATAAAAATGTGACATCTCTGGGTTCTTTTTTTCTTTTTTAGGGCTGTACCAGATGAGCATCCCAGAGTCAGCGCCCGTGGGTTCAGTGGTGGGACGAATATGGGCAAAGGACAAGGATGTGGGGCTCAACGCTGAGATGAAGTACAGCATCATAGACGGAGACGGAAGAGACACGTTTGACATCAGCACTGACCCCACCAATGTTTTTGGCCTCATTTTGGTGAAAAGGGTAGAGTTACATTTACATTTGAATACGTGTAAAGAATCATCCCTCTTTAGAAAACACTGAGGCGGCGTATATGTACTCATATTGATTAATATATTAATTCATTGGAAAAAAAAGACAACAAATCCAGTTTTAAACATATTCTAATTTTTAATTTCTAATATTTAAAACTCTAAACCCGTGTTAAGAATTAAACAAATTAAACATTAGAGATAAAAAGATGTTACTTTATATATGTAGATAAATTAAAATGTACATTACTTTTTTATTTATTTCTATTTATTGCTTGTTATGCTTTTTTTTCACAAAATTTCATGTTGCTTATTTACTTATTTTATTAGTTATGCTTTTTTTTCACAAAATTTCATCATGTGATTAAATAGCTTTTTTGTGTATGTTTTCCAGCCCTTGAACTTTGAGAAAAAACTCAGTTATACACTAAAGGTACAGGGCGCAAACACCCACCTGGACCCAGCCTTTCACTCCAATGGGCCGTTCAAGGATGTGACCATTGTGCACGTGAGCGTGGAGGACGTGGATGAGCCGCCAGTCTTCGATCTGCCGTCGTACTATGTGGAGTTACCAGAAGATGCAGATATTGGGAGGCTAGTAAAGACGGTGTCGGCCAGAGACCCAGATGCTGCCAACAACACTGTGAGGTGAGCAAGAGAGTGATGATGTCACACACTGAGCTGATCTCCACAAAGTAAACAATATATAATTAAAACAATGTAGGAAACAGGGAAAATATTGTTATCCTGGAAAGAAAGGCATTAAACACATGAAGATATGGCAAATTCAAAACACAAACTGTACATATTCTGTATGTATATGTATAAATATATAAACAAATATACACCATTAACAAAGTTAAGTAAAAAAAACACTTGGATTAGTTTTGATGATTCGCCCTCGGATTTTACCACGTTTTGTGTTTTTTTTTTTTTGTCCTGCTGATGTATTGTTGCGATGCCACCACAAGGAGGCAGCATCCAACGTTGCAATGCCACCACAAGGAGGCAGCATCCAACTAATAAAAAATGGCCTGCTGCTCCAATCGACTCACGACTACTGTTAACAAACACATTAGATATTCTAAGACAGAGTGGCTGCAAACTGAAAGATCACTGATCCACTGTCCACTCTGACACACAGTTTTTTGTGTTTGTATGTTTTTGGTTAAAAGGACACAAAACAAAGCCAGAGAGGACCGTGTCCTGTATCTTTGTGAACTCCACTGTCTCTATAGACAGGAAAGTGAAACAAGTCTCAGCCTCTAGTTAAATATGTCCATGCATCTGTGAGAAAAGAGAACAAGAAGGCGGTGCAGTGCGGTCGGTCAGCCATGTTTGATGCTGGACGGGGAGTCTGGGTGTAGAAGAGTGGCAGAGTGGAGGCTGCTGAGGCTGATCTGAGGTCAGCGCTCCTGCAGCAAACACGTCAGATGACAGATGACCACTAACAGCAGCGGGTCGACCTTCACCCTTAGCGTCAGACTTATTTCTATCGAACATTTTATTCTTCTCAACCTACTGCAGCATTTGTACCAGAGGTGAATGTGCCCATGGTAACTGTTCTGTTTGAACACAGCATCATTCTGCTCTACATATGGTCGTCTCTGTGCCTCAGGTCAGGAACTGTGCTGTGAGAGATGTTGCAGCTCTGTTCATGTCTTGTCACACTGACAGTAGAGGAAGACTCTGTGATCAACTGTTGTCTGGAACATTCTCCTTGTCTTCTACCAGCTGGAAGCTGCCAGTCTGTCATTGACTGTCTGTCGATTATCTTACAGACAAACCCACGCTGGTGTGGATTGGAAGAAATCAGCAACATAAAGCCTAACTCTGATGTTTTTCATGCCACAGGTACTACATCGAGGGATCCACCGACCCAAAGAAGTATTTCTATATTGATATCACCTCCGGGTCACTGATGACAGTGCGTCCGCTGGACCGAGAGCAAGTGGGATGGCATAACATCACAGTTCTGGCCATGGAGATGTGTATGTCACACTGACACACTAACTGTCCCACAAATGCCTACAAATGTAGTAGAAAGTATCATGATATAGTCTGCCTACTTGTTGATTTTATGTTTAACATATCAAGGCTGTTCCCTTGACCTAAAACTGTGAAAAACCACATTGTTTAAAATAATTTATGTCAAACTTTTTTGCATGTCTATATAAAGAATTTGAATCTGCATTTCTGCAGAAGTGTGGTTTTCTCCTGCTGCAGAGTTTGGCAGCGACTGGCCCTGAAGTCACCTTCATCTACTTTGTTTGTGTATCAAAGAGATACACACACACACACACACACACACACACACACAAGACAGGGCTGGAAATTGAATTAATGACTAATTAAACGCCTCCACCCACACGCTGGATGATTAAATGTGTGAGGAGATACAGACAGCGGTGGAGGGCATAGAGGGGAAGAGACGAAGGACAGAAAAAAGTAAAAAATGTGAAGAAAATCTAAGTTCCTCTCTGTGGTTCTTATTCAGAGTCAAATGGTACAGTCATCAACCACATACAGGATGTCGTGTGGGACTGAAGCTTTTCAGTAAAATACTCAGTCAAACTATAATGAGTTAACAACTGCTAAATCCAATTTTCTTTGGAAGACATATATATTAATCTTGATTTCTCTCATGAACAGAGCAGCTTTCATTAAATCCACTCAACCAATATTCACACTTTAACCGTGGCGAGGGTTCGACTCCACTGATTCTTCCTCAGTTTGGTGGAACCAAGGTCAAACATTTCTCCTCACACAGCGAGAGACACGCACATGAACCATTTCCACCAAATCCAAGTCACTGATCATGTGATGAAGCTGCCGTAATTACTCACTGCCTGATGATTATATTTCCACTGGCCATAACACAGTATGTTAACATATGCAAATCACCAAACTCCAACGGTATAGAACAAAGGCTAACCTATGTATAAGGGATCCATGTGTGTCTGATGTGTTTAACATGTATGTGTGTTTGCAGACAACCAAAGACAGATTGCCAGTGTAGCGGTGACCATCAAAGTCTTGGACGTGAACGATAACCCCCCTGAGCTGACACCCTTCCTGGAGGCGTACGTGTGTGAGAACGCTAGGCCTGGACAGGTTAGACGCCTTATTATGATCAACAGCATCTGTTCTTAAGGAGGAGAAACTTAAACATTTTTAATTTGACTTTTAAAATTCTTGTGGATTTTTATTAATGGTTTAGATAAATGTGTGGAGAAAATAAATGTACTGTTAACTGAGTAAACGGTGGCTGTTTCAGCTGATCCAGACTGTCGCAGCAGTAGACCCAGATGAACCACTAGGTGGACATCGCTTCTACTACAGTTTGGCTCCAGAGGCCATAAATAACCCAAACTTCACCCTGAGAGACAACCAAGGTAAACAAACACACACACACACACAGATATTCAGGTTTCACACAACGTTTTGTTTAGAACCAAATAGAATAAAGACCCAAAGACCCAAAATTCAGACTGCTGGTATGAAAACTAAGTTCAAGAGACTGCTACAGTCTTGGTATATCATACTCAACCTTTCTCTGACCTTTCTCTCTCTCAAGACAACACAGCGTGGATCCTGACTCGCCGTGGAGACTGGTCACAGCAGGACCAGTCCATCTTCTACTTGCCTATCTTTATCTCTGACAGCGAGCAGCCGGTCCAGACCAGCACCAGCACACTGACCATTCAAGTGTGCAGCTGTGACCACGAGGGCAATGTCATGTCCTGCAATCCAGATGCCTACGTTCAGCCAGTGAGCCTGAGCAGAGGAGCACTCATCGCCATCCTGGCCTGCATCTTTGTCCTCCTGGGTGAGTCCTGATTGGCTGATGTTTGAGAAGATAATGTACACTAATGTTAGCTCAAAAATAGGTATGATGTACTTTATGTGCCACAGGATAAACAAAAGATTGCTTATGTGGATAAATTTATCCTAACATTTGTAAAAACAATATTGGTTGAAGATATCGAAAAAATAGGTTATTAAATTAAATCACATTTAAATTTAAAAAAAGACACCAAAATGAATGATGAAAATGTAACTAAATTGTCCTGGAAAAACTCCTGAAGAAGAATTCATATACCCAACCACCACTACAAGAATCATATAATAAAAATGAATAATAATTATAATAATTCTTGAGGTCCATCACCTTATTCTGTTATTAGAAGACATCGTACATTAGATGTATATGTCTACTAGTAAGAGACAAGCTCAAACTGTGAGCAAGAGAAAAGGAGTTTTGGCTAAATTTAGAGCAGTATGAGTCAAGCTGGCGAAGCTGGGGAGGCATCCAGCTCACAGCCGGTGGTCTGCAGGGAGAGATAAAGTCAGTCCAGATCAGCTTCCAGGGGAACAGAGACTGCTGCTAATGAATGCCAGCCCTGTGCCAGGACAGGAAGAAAGAAACCCATATTTCAATCCTGCACCAAAGATGCTCCACTCCTACTACTACTACCTCAGTCTGAGTCTGCTGCCACTGGCTGCTCCAGGTGTGTGTAGCCATTCAGGCCTGACATGATTAAACATGACAGGTACACGAGAGAACGGAGGTTTTAGAGACTAAAATTTAGATAGACACACTTGTTGGTTTAGCAAACAAGCCACATATGAATGAGAGAGACGGCAGACACACTTGTTAGTTTAGCAAACAAGCCACATATGAATGAATTCAAGTTTTGTAATTCAAGCTGACACTGTTTTTGCTCTCTCTACAGTAATGGTTCTGCTCATGCTCTTCCTGCGTAGTCAGCGTAAGAAGCCCTATTTGTGCGATGAGGAGGAGAATGTCCACGAGAATATCGTGCGTTACGATGACGAGGGTGGCGGCGAGGAGGACACCGAGGCATTTGATATTGCTGCCATGTGGAATCCACATGAGGTACACCGTCCCCTTGGAAAGATGAGGCAGGACATGATCCCGGAGATAGAAAGTTTGTCCCGCCATGTCCCTCAGCCCTGTGTAGTGGGTGTTGGCAGTGGGGACGGTAACGTTCATGGATATGTGCTGTCAAAACTATTAGAGGCTGACATGGACCCGTGTGCACCACCTTATGACTCCCTGCAGACCTACGCCTATGAAGGGGAAGGTTCAGTTGCAGAGTCCCTCAGTTCTCTCCAATCAGGAGCCTCAAATAATGACCATGACTATGATTATCTCAATGACTGGGGTCCTCGTTTCAAAAAACTGGCTGAAATGTATGGCGTTCTTGAGACTAACACTTCACCAATGTGGTAATACTTCTTTGCCTTTGTCCCTTTTTAACACCAGTGACTTGTAAAACAAAGCAAAACAAAGACACAAACAGACTGATGTGCCAGGATGTGTTACCTACACACCTATTACTCTTAGCACTTGAATTGTGGCTCAAGCCTCAATTTTCCACATCTTTGGAGGCTAGTATTTGAAAGCAGCAGCCACTGCAGCAGGATCAGCATAAGTGGGAGTTGTTTTTTTTTTTTTTTTAAATCTGCCCCAAAGGAAGACTGTTCGGATATTGGCAGCCGTGTGGGGCCCACAAAGGAATGGCTTCAAAGCACATGCTAATTCCCTCATCTGACCCAGTCATGAACAGAAAGCCTCTTTGGCTCAAAGTCTGCAGTGAATTATGCCAAGAGATGAAAATGAGCAGAACCAGACTGCCTTTAATATTTAAAGGAGCATAGTACAAGAACTTCGGATGTCCGAGTCTGAACTGATGCAAATCACAACATTGAAAGGAAGAGAGAAGTGAGGAGTCACTCAAAAAAAAAAAAAATTCTGTTTTTCTGTTGGTGACAGGTCTTAATTTATGTGTTTTATTTATTTTTTTCTAAATTATTTTAATGGAACACTGATGTCAAATGTCAATCTTTAAAGGATAATATGTTTGGTAACATTCAAGATGTAACATTCCACGTTTACAGTGTGTTTTTATCGAGCTGAAAAGGTGGCGATGCTGTAAATCTGTGTAGGTCACGTTGGTTTAAATGTTAATTGTATTTTTGTTTTGTACCGATGTTTTTTTTTTAATGTAACTGATGTTTTTGTGAAAATACATTGTTGTTGAGAAAAAAAACCCATCCTTGTTTAGTACTAGCTACTTCCCACTTGCAAAAGATGGACCGACTTCTGGTTTGACGTTGAGGCTGTTTTGCTGTTATCAATCCAAACACACCACCATCACAGTAAAGTGATGTATTAGTTCTACAACAAAACGTGTTGTATTGCTCCTGAATAACTGAAATGTCTCTGTGTCTGTGTCTGTAGAAGAGAAATGAGTTACATACTCATGTATTAGCACTTTCCCTTAGCAAGCACAGAAATCACAATCACTAAAAACAAATCAGGACCGGCTTCATCAGCACTATTTAAGTTTTGCAGTTCAAGGTCAGTAAACATTAATTTTAACAGAGTTTATGTTGCTAAATGCTAGTTTTAGGGATTATGCATACGACATAAAAATTGTAAATTTTGGCAAATTGACTACTGGCCACCAATTGTGGGGCAGCGTTGGATCAGCCAGATGATTATAAGGACCATCATAAAGTTGGCATGCTGTTGGATCAACGCTAACTGCCAAGGCTTAAAGCAGGAGTTTACTATTTATTATTTTACATTACGACTGTTAAATGTTAATTCAACCAATTATCTGGTAAATCCTGATAGATTTTTTTTATCATCATTGTTGTTTAGAATGACATAATTAATGTTGCCTTATAATAACAGACCTAGAACTAGTAGCTGTTTGACTTGAGTGAAGAGACTGAGTGGAAACAACATCATGCCATCCTTTCATTTCTAAGATTTATTTCAGCAACCAGGTCTATTTGTTCATTTCTTTTGAGTGTCCTGGTTTATAAAACGGCTTAATGGTTTTTCATTTGATGTAAACACTCCATCACTAATATGATGTCATGCTTTTTTCCTCTCACCATATACACGAGGCCATCTCCTCCAAAGACACTGATGATCAGCATTAAGTGCCAAATGCAAAAATGACAACAAAAAGAGTGATGTGGAAGCAATGTGCAAAAGACTGAACTTTATACCAAAAGAAAATAACGTTTTTTTGGAACTGAACCGTAGTTTTTTGATAATTTGATTGGTATACGTTTACCTAAAATTGTTCTTGTTGTAAGTCATGCTACAGTGTGTGGTATGTGAATGTAGATATTTTTTGTATTCTTCATAATAAAATGGTTAAAACATATTTTTTCTATTTCTTATGCTCTACGTCCAAGCTGCATTAACGGAACGGTTCTAGCAACTTTTTAAAAGCTGGAACTGTTTCTATCACTTGATGTTAGGGATTATACAATCAGGGCATTCATCAGTAAGTAAACAATTTTGATTCTGTTTTCATGACTGGCTTGCTGTATTAATTTTAATTTTAGCATTTTATTTTTGTTTTGCAGCAATAATTCCTTGTAATTCATTTACAACTTAACTGGAGCCTGAAGCTCTAGGAACACCTCGAAGTTTCAACTCACTTTATATCAGTGGCTGGAAATCAATTGCCTGTGGGAATCAATTGTAATCAGTCCTCATTTGATTGCTTCTGTCAATCTTTACAACACAAGCAAATGACAGAAATGACATAAAAAGAAGCAAAATTATTTATGTGGTTTCATAGGTTGACATACCATACATTTATGTACATACATGTATGTATGTATATATATATAAAAATATATACAATACCTATATATATATATATATATAAACAAACAGATATATAGAAATTGTAGTCATTGGATAACAAAAGAAGCAGTAGTGATCTACTGTGTTTACATTTTCCCCATTCGGACGATTCTATTTATCTTTGTCAAAGCAAATTGGAAAAAAAGTACTTCAGAAATCTAAAGCTCTAAAGTACCAGCAAGGCAGCAGTCAGCAGTGGAATTACACAGAAGATTAGCGTATAATAATGCTATTCTGCAGATTTAAATTCTCACCCGTACGCCTCACACCGCCTGCATGCTGAGCTAAACATTCCAATTACACAGTAGGGATTTGTACCTCATTTTTCCTTGTTTATCTGTCAGCAAATCTTTTCAAGTTTTGACATTTCAGAAAGAGCTATTTTTTGTACTTGTTGATTCTTGGGTAGTTTTACTGAATTGATGCACTTGTGTCTGAAATCCTAACACTTCTTCCGTCTGCTCCTTCTCCTCCTAAAAGAGGAGGAAGATCAACACCAGCTGTAACTTCATTCCCATCACTTCTAATCATCAACATCTCACCAGGATAACAAGAAGTCTTTCTCTTTTGAATTGAATTTGAAACTATTCTCACCATGTAACTCTTCATTAAACAACAGTTTAATCCTAAAAAAACAGCCCTTCATCTTCCTGTTACATTTTTGCTGCCTTGCTCTTCAGGCTGTTCCCGAATACATGGGGAGGGAACAAATGACTCCAAGACAAAACCAAAAGTCAGTTTTGATATTATAACAAAATAAAATGTATTCAAACATCAATCTTTCCTTTAATTTTGTTATTGACAAATTGTAAATATAGAGCCTAGCTGCTGAAGCAGTAAGGTGTTAATATGAGCAGCTTTCCAGATGATAATTGTTGTTTCCTGTAGCTGCACAAAATCATCAACAAACCCTCAACAAACCCTCATCAAACCGTGAGGTCACTGCAGGAGTCCCTCTAGTAACTCTCACTCTAACTACTGAGGACTAGTGATCAACAGCTGAGTGCCTTCTCCTAGTTTAGATCGTCCTCTACTGTGGCTTGTTCTTCTTATATAGAGCTGGATAAAATTTTTAAAAGCACATTGATTATTCAATGTGAGTGTAGGTTAGCAGCTTCATTTCCAACAGTACATCTCAATAAAGGCCTTACGAATTTCCATAATAATGTGCATTGCTGCACAGCTTGTAGTTTCTGCTCCAGGCTGTGATAATGACTGAAATCAGGAGGTGGTTTGAATGAATTGAATTAGCTTGAAGTCTCTCCGAGGCCCTTCCCTTCCTTCACATCACTTATAATGCCACAAACATGACTGACTAAGTGTCAGAGGATGTCACACGACCCAAAGGTTTTTACATTTCTTCATTGATTGTTGGTCAGTAGGCAACAACAGCAGAAAAGCTCCGACTCTTGCACACAATATTAGCACAATTCAGTGCACTGAGGGAACCTGTAACTGGGGACAATATGATGAAACATGGTTGTCTCGGCTGCAATAAGGAGACAGAAAAGAAATGGTTCTGGTTTTAGACTTCAAATGAGTGCCTACAGTGAAAATATCCTGAAAGTATTTTTATTCAAATTCATTTACACACTTCAATAAAACCAGGGACAGAATAACTATTCTTATTAATACAAATAAAAAGTAGAATGATGGTTTAATAACTGACCAATGGAACCACAGCACGCTCCAGGACATTGTGAGCATTTTTGATGGGGATTAATATCAGACGACTAAACAACACCGCACCATAATTAATACATTTAACAAAATGGACAGATTTTTTAAATATATTTTTATGGTTTCATTTCTAGGCCTCAACGTTTTCTTTCCTTTGCCACAAGGACAGATCTTTAGATGACTAAATAACCTTGAAAGTCCAGCAAAGCAAAAAAAAAAAAGAGGGATTCGTAAAACGTAGTGTAAACACAGCAATGTGACGGAAATTCCCAAGTTGAGGCTCATGTGTGGAGATCAGAATGACCTCCTTTAATCCATCACACCTCACCAGACTCCCCAGTGCATTTATTAAGGTTGAGCAAAGTAAACAGATCAATGGCCTCAGAGCATGCCGGAATAGAGCCTCTAACAGGGTCAAACATTTTCTTTTTTCACTACAAAGGATAAAAAGATGATTCATAAGGTTGCAGAAAAAAGATCTCTTGAGTATTGTTAATTATATGCACATAAAACTATAAAGATCTGTTTTTCTATCAGGCCCCAAAACAGATTCCTTCTGTTGGAATTCTGTAAACTTTCCATTATTAAATAAAATATCAACTCACTGCAAAAACAAAACTTGTTTTTCATTTAAATTATCAATATAATAAGAGGTTAAAATAATGCCATAAATGCATCTGTGTGGGATTTAAATCATTCCAAGGTGCTGCGATTGAAGTGACAGGCAGACTGATGACTTGGATGATGGTGGATTTAGTACAAATGGCTGACCATGCACTTTTCTCCACAACTGATGAATTAGACAAACCGTAGCAATGCGGAGCTCAGGAGAAAAGTCACCCGCTCACACCGAGCGACTCACCCCACATAGTTCATTTCAACGTGGGAATAAAAAGAAACCACAGTAGTGTGCAGTCAATTGTGGGTGCTGGGATGGAGGTATTTTACTGTTAGTGTCAGTGTGTGTGCGTGTATAATTTTTCATGTCTGACTTATGATTGTGAGAGTTAAAATGCACTGCTTGCAAAAATTGGCTCTGTGGGCTGTGTGATTATGGAACAAGGATTTTACCGTCAATAACACTCTAGTCCAATCATGTGCACAGAGCCACAAATCTCTGCAAACTCTGTTGCTTCTTCTCACAACAACAAATCCAAAACCATCTCCATGACAACTGACTATACCAAAGGAAGACTACTGAAGGCATCAATTGCTCTACAGGGAGCAAAATATATTCTCATTAAGGATGAATTGTTTTATTCAGTAGATACATTTATTTTACGGCCGGTTTGGTTCTAACAACGATCGATGTCTTCTTGATTGGGATGGGAAATCTTTGCAGCACACGGTACGTAAAGAAATATACAAACACTTTTTTGTAGGCACAGTAGGTGTAGGTTAAAAAAGTAAAAAAGTCAGGTGCTTGACACCTGGGGCTGGTCAGGTGAACCACATAAGCAGAACCGTGGTTTTCTCTGGTCAAATATCTATTCTATCAAGGCTCAAAACTCTAAATGCTCAGGTCTTTGTCACCTGCTTTATTTTACTACAATTTATTTTTATGCTTTATTTTATTCTTCTTCAGGTATTGAGCTGCTTAGAGGCAAAAAACAACATTATTACAGCAGCCAGTAAGAACTTAAGAAACCTCTTGGGTGGAAGTTAAACCAGAAACAATGATAGTCAAGTTCCCCAGTTGTAAACTGTTTCAGCTTATATGAGAATAACTGCGTATTCTGAAGATGACTGTTGAATTCTGACATATTCGGTTTTAAAAGGCTTCTTACAAAAAGTGCAAAAAATCTAACATGTCTTATATACAATTATTAAGTATTGAGGTAAACATGGTGAGAGAACAAAGGCAAATAAAATAAATACATGGAGTGTCAAGGAGAATACATCTTTGAAGTGTAATTGCCACAGGGAATCAGGGGATTGTCAATGTCAAAAAGGGACTAGGAGGGAAAGGAATCATGGGAAACATCTTGCCTGTGCGGAATAATGTCCCAAAGCAAACGGGTAGGAAGGAAGAAAGCTTAAGGAAGGATGTACCTGAAGTGAACAATACTCGAGATTAAAGACAAGCCAAAGTAAAGGAGCTGACTAACCGTACCATCTGTTGTTTTCATTGGTCTTTAACCCAATGGGTGAATGTGACAAACACATAGGCCTTACCAGCATTGTTGTTCCAGATGTGATCTGTTTTGCCAGGATCTGGAGTGGTGTCAAGAACAAAACCGTTTCCCTTCAAGTCCACGCTCGTGTGTGGATAGATGATGCTGACTTTTTCCTGCTCCAGAGGCCAAAAAGAAACCAGAAACTGGTTGTTCAAACATCAAAGTAACAAAGTTACAAAAAATGCAGCAATTTGAATTGACTTGTATTAGATTTATAAGCTATCTTGACTGTTAAACTATTACCTTCTTCCAGCACTAGCAGTGGATGGTTCACCTTTATCTATTCTCTTTTTAAATCATTTTTACTGATAATTCCCCATCTTTTCGTTTTTCTATATTAATAACAGTGAATTGTAAAATTTAATAAAACAATCACAACTTGCTGTTTAGTTGATTAAATATCAACGTAATATATTTAACATTGTCTGGAGTATTTTAATTAAAGTGCTGCCTCAATTCATATGCTTTGCAATGATTTATCTACAAAAATAACTTAAAATAGACAACATATGGAAACAATTTTATCTAAAATCGAGAAGAGCCGCGCTAACCGCTTAGCATACGCTTAGCATACGCTTAGCATATGCATAAATCCGAGTATGCTAATCGCTAAGTATAACATTATAAAAATGTAGAAATAAAACATTCCTACAACAATAAACTCGACACGACCCAACGCTATACTTACTGCCTTGTCGCTTAGGGACAAAACGGCTCATTAGTACTAAAGATAAACGCCTTTTACCAGTTTGTTAAATTAATTTAAACGCGTAACGTCTTCTCCCGCTGACGACCTCCGTGACTTAACCCCGCGAATGAGTCCGATGTAGCCACCGTGCTATGTAACTATTATTACATAGCATATCATTAATTCGTTTATTTTAACTTGATTTACTTTTTTTATTAAAATACATGATTAAGGGGGGTGATTGAGAACCCAAATAGATATAAATATACATCAAAATATAAATATCTAGAATGTAAATTAGCTCGTTACTACTAAAGATAAACGCCTTTTACCAGTTTTTTAAAAATAATTTAAACGCGTAACGTCTTCTCCATCTGACAACCTCCGTGACTTAACACCGCGATTGGTTTCCAAAAATGACTCTAGAGTCCGTTGATTAAATATCAACGTAATATATTTAACATTGTCTGGAGTATTTTAAATAAAGTGCTACCACAATTTTATTTAAAGTCGAGTACAGCCGCGCTAACCGCTTAGCATACGCTTAGCATATGCTATGCATATGCTAAGTAGTTAGCGTGGCAAATCCGAGTATGCTAATCGCTAAGTATAACATTATAAAAATGTAGAAATAAAACATTCCTACAACAATAAACTCGACACGACCCAACGCTATACTTACTGCCTTGTCGCTTAGGGACAAAACGGCTCATTAGTACTAAAGATAAACGCCTTTTACCAGTTTGTTAAATTAATTTAAACGCGTAACGTCTTCTCCCGCTGACGACCTCCGTGACTTAACCCCGCGAATGAGTCCGATGTAGCCACCGTGCTATGTAACTATTATTACATAGCATATCATTAATTCGTTTATTTTAACTTGATTTACTTTTTTTATTAAAATACATGATTAAGGGGGTGATTGAGAACCCAAATAGATATAAATATACATCAAAATATAAATATCTAGAATGTAAATTAGCTTTCCCATTTCACTGACCAGCTGCCATAGTTATAATTGACCCAAAAAAAGTCAGTAGCCTCTATTATCTCTACCTGCTGGTAATAACCATGTAGAAAATATGCAATAGAAACCTTCAAGATATAATTACTAAAAAACAGTTGTATCTTCTGAACCATGGAATGTCAAAGCGAAACGTCTCATGTCTTGTGATTGTATTCTATTTACTATTGAAACTGCCTATTTTCTTACGGCCTCTTGTATTCCCCATAAGACATGGTTTAATGTGGTAATACTTACACTCAACCTCACCCCAGCTTTTATGAACCTCGACCTCTGGGCATTTGAGGTAACAGACCTTAATCCTGTCACACATACTGTACGACACACTGCTGCAGAGTCTCTCTGAAAAATTGATATTGCTTTTATCCATGCTGCTGCACACTGACCTCCAACACTGCTTCATATAATTGGGAACAATAACTTTCTCTTTTCTCCCACCGCAGCATTAAGAAGAACAGTCACCTCAACTGCTCCCAGGATTAAACGCTTGAAGGTCTCAGAAAAGCTTATCCCAAAACCATGATGGAGCCTGCAGAGCAGGAAAGTAGAAACTTCTGTTCAAAATGCAGATTTAAATAAGCTTTTACGGGTGCTAAATTAACATTTCTTGAAAGAAAAAATTAGGTTTGCTACAGGTCTACCAGGTCCAGGCTCCTAACAGGTGCAATTCTGTATATTTGTATATTATAATGCAAGAAATGCAATGTAATATATATAATAAATAATATTGTTTATATAAAATACATTAACTCAAATTTTTCATTGCAACAGGTAAGACTTACGTTCCCTGGACCACTACTCTTGAGTTTTTCTTAATTTCTTTTACGTCTTAAACCATGACATTTTTAGTTAACCAATTTTCCCCTTCCACCGACAGAACATCTTTGACCAGGCATTTTTGGTGAGTTTGTACGTAAAAGGTGTTTTTTGTGGTGTCTATATTTATACAGTCCATCTGTCCTCCAAGTGGAAAACAGCTTAATTTCAAAAGCCACTCTGGGAACATTAAAAATAAAGATGTGATCATTAACGGTGAACAGAGGTGGCTGCTGGTGGCTCCACAGTCCACAGTGGGCCTGGTCATTATTAACAGAGCTTGCCTGCGAGGATAAGCTTTTTTTTCTTCACTGTGGAAAAAAAACCCTGCTGCAATGACTCCCTGGAGAGTGTTAATTGCCTCCTTGACACCATATCAATAAATATTTCAGGAGGTAAAAGGGTTCCTTGGGGTAAACAAGGATTGTCTGCTCTATCACCAAGTGCACTCAGCTCTGAAATACATGAAAATTGTATTTCAGAGCTGAATTTGATTGCCATTTTTGTAATGATATTAACTGTACACTCACAACATTCAAATTATAATTATATATATGAGCTTTTAATGCCCTCATGAAATACTTAGGTCACGTAAGCAACACCAAATTAAAACAAAGACCCCTGGAGCATAAGCAAATCCTTTGTGTAGAAATACCAAATTAAAACAAAGACCCCTGGAGCCTGTATATTTCAGATTTACAGCCTTGTTTTCCTTTATTGGTCACCAATAAACCTGCTTCTGCTCACCTTTGAAGGAAGCAGGAAACTACCACAGAAACATCTGACAACAGTTTACACACAGCTACAAAAATGACAAACCTTTGTTTACCTCTCCTTACGTTATCACCAGAGTTATGTTCTGTGGAAAATGTGCCACGGGAGCAGTTGCTGCATATAAAACAAGTCTAAACAGATGACTGGAAATGCACAAAAAACATTACAGTATATGTGAATGTTTCCAACACTATTTTGGTATTTGCTCATTTGTAAAGCAGCACTGTTTGTCTTTAGTCTGTACCATCTGCATTCACAGAAAAACAACATAACATTACTGTTGTCCCATATTGAGCGGTTAACAGAACGTTCAAATTGAATTAAAGGTGGAGCGACAAAGACTGCTCCCTGCTGGGTCATGTAGTATTTATTACTCTTTCAAGATGTTTTAATACCAATACCCCTTAAACATATATATATATACACACACATATATATATATGATATGTAAATGTAAATATAAATAATGAGAATTAATTAATAAGAAAGAGCAGATAACAAAAAGATATTAATATATACTGTACTTAAAATATACACACTTAAAATTCGGGTTATAAAATACTTGTGCGTTATGTGGCAAATCTTTTAAAAAAAAGTAATAGAAAGCACTTAGAACCTAAAAGAACGTTTTATTCAGTAATGAATTTATTACTAAATTGTATTCATCAAACCCTCCCAAAAAGACAGTTGTGTCCTTCATGTTCAGAGGGTTTGGTTTGCTTTTGATGTGAACCCCTAATATAATATAATATAATATAATATAAAATAATATAATATAATATAATATAAAATAATATAATATAATATAATATAATATAAACATAGGTAAGCTGCAGTGCCGTGAAACTTGACCTAAATATATTTTATATATTGGGAGTTCACGTTTACACTAAATGGCTTCATCCATTGGTGGAAAACAGTTTAAAAGGTAAAACATTTATTAAAAAAAAAAAAAAAACTAAAATCCAGTTCTGTTGACAAGAAACCTCTACACACAAATGCATTTACCCTGTACGTTTGTGTGTGTGTGTGTGTGTGTTGGTGTGTGCGCTGTACACTGAAGAAGAAGAAAAACACACACACACACATGCATCAATCCCCACTAATATACCAGTGTCAGGAGCAGGTAAATCAATATCACATTCATTACCTTCAGCACATGCCCACTGCTGACCTCTTAGTGACCCCTCCCCCCCCTCCCCCCCACCTCCACAAACAGACAATTGCACGGTTGAGCCCACATATATCCACCATTTCCTCTCCTTTAACAGATGTATAGAGATGAGGAGTCAATAGATGTGTGTGTGTGTGTGTGTGTGTGTGTTAGGGGTGGGGCTGCTGGTAACGGTTCCTTAGAAGAAGATTTGTGTGAAGGAGGTCAAGGCCAACCAATTGTTCAGCAGAGTCCGTGGGAAAGAATCAACATGGACGGACTGACAAATCAAAGAGAGAATGATGAAAATGTTTCATGTCCAAAAGTAAGAGACTAACAACCATGGACTGTTAAGCCTGATGTTATGGGGATCTTCAGGATCTTCAGCTCCGGATGCTGTTCTCGTTCCCAGGCGGTTTAGTCTTTTTTTTTATTCACTCACAAAAGGTAAATCTTCCGAAACTGAAAACCAAGACTTACTTTCCTGCCAGTTCACAACCACAAACTACAAGTAGTGCAGACTATTTCACCTAAATAAAGTAGGTCGTACAAAACAAACCCTAATCCAAATGTGTCGACTGGAACACTAGGCTGCTAACTGCCCATTTATGACCTGCTAAACCAACCCTACAACAGTTCCCTCTTTTCTTTTTTCTTTTTTTTTTGCATAACTGAACATTAACATCTGATGGTTGTAAATTCTTCAAACCTACATGGCGTCATCATGGCAACTGTTGGTTTGTGGGGGAAAAAAAGTATTAACAGAAAACCCAGTAGTTTTTCATCAGAGGTCCAGATGGGACACGGTCTACGTCTGTAAGTGACACCTTGACTGGAAGTGCCACAAACCAGCACACAACTAAAGAAAGACTACTTTAACAGACTGACTTCTACAAACCACAGACTAAACTGGCAATTACTGTACTGGGAGTGATTGTCTGAACAGTTCCTGGCCCAAAGTTCACCACACAACAAGACCACCAGACTGTCCAGAACCTGGTTTCCATTCCACCCTAAAAAGGTAAAAGGTTTTTTTTTTGTTGTTTTCCCTTTTCGTTCCCATCTCCTGCACATATAAAGGTTTTTTCTCAGACCATCTGTGATTCTCCAATTGGTCTTCATCATCTCATCATCGTTGGTTTTCCTTGATCTGACTTTACTCCACACTCCTAACCTGAGAAGATGGCACAGCCAGACGGTGGTCCAAAGAGGACGGAGGTGGCAGCGAGTGGTCGAAGAGATTCTGCAGAACTCTGATCCTCCACCTCCTCCTTCCTGACCACCTTCATCCACAGGAGATGACGGTGAAACGTTTGGAGATACAGGACATGTTGTGCAGCACGATGCCCAGGAGAAAGAGCAGAACACAGGCCACCAGGATAACAGTGCACACACCTGTCCACGTGGAACCCTTTCCTCCACCAACTGGACCACTGACCCTCCTGTCTCCATCTGCTCCTTCCAGTCCAACTGCCTCCAGGTCCATGTTCAGGTCTAGAGGATGCTGCTCTGGCAGAGTCACCACGGTGACACTCCCTTTTTGTTGCCCCCCACTAGGCAGGAAGCGACACCCCAGCTCGCCAGGCAGCCCCATCGCACGTTCTTTGGTGACAGTCAGGGGCAGCATGTAGCAGCCGTTACTCGGCAGACGGATAAAAACTGGAGTTTGCTCCGAGGTGTGAGGGATGGCGATGACGGTGACCACGTCAGGATCGTCTGGGAGCTGGGAAACAGAAAGACCTGCCGGAAGCTTGGTCACGTTGCGGCACCACGGGCAGCGGATCTCCTTCTGGGTGTTGCGCATCTGTGTCAAACACACCGAACAGCACGTGTGCCTGCAGTCCAGGAGTTTGGGCCGCCGGCGTGGACTGTAGTAGTTAAAGCAGATCTGACACTCCATCAGAGAATCCTGAGAGAGGGTGTCCATTTTGGTAACACGCTGACACTGTGCCCAGGTGGAAATGTTATTTTAGTGATGAGCCAAAGTCTGTACGACTCCCTCAGTAGTTAGAGATGTGCAGCCGGCTCCAGCCCTAGGTTCTGTACGGCCGTCTACCTGTGTAGACCTGCGCTGCTGGAACCATCATCCATCTGCAGCAGAAAAGAAAAGAGAAAACAGGAATTAATCATTGACATTTACACCAAATGTCAGAAAGTGAGACAACAGCGCCCCCTGCCTCAGTATCTGTTTTAATTCTTCCAATGATTTATTTGAAGCGCCCGTCTTCTCCTCCTACTCTACTCTAATATCACATCCACCGTGTTAATCCAAGCAGAAGCAGCAACAGATTTCTCTGATAGATGATTAAACCCTGTCACAACAGCCCCAAGAAAACAGTCAGAGACACAATGGTCTCTGTCGACTCTGGGGTTTTTTTTTTTTTTGTGTGTGTGTTTTTTTTTCTATCCAAATTACCAAAGTGTGAAAACTGCTGAGGAGGGAAGACGAATAGATTTGTCTCTCCTCTCGCTTCCTTGGCGGCCAGATTCACCCTGTGGGCCTGACAGTGAGTAGACAGCAGGGGCGAGCAAGGTAAGAAAGACAAAGGAAGGAGGAATAGAAGGAGGAGGTGGTTGGACAGAAAAGAGCAGCTCTTCAGCCCAGAGCGACCAAAGTCTCATCTCATCTAATCCATAAACAGGATGTCACAGAACAAGGAGAGCCTGTGAGTCTTTGTTCCAGATTAAATTCATCATGAAACCCAGCAGTTATCACTCAGTCAGTGTCAGTGTCTGTGTCTGAGTTCAGGACATTCCTGCAGCAAACACCTCCCATCTTGTAATGAGCTCCTTCTGGACAGTTCTGAGGAATTCCCAGCTCTTCTGCTGTCACTGCCTTCACCAGGACACGCCCGGAGCTGCGTGTTACCATCTGGTCTGTTGGTTTGATTCATTTAGACCACGGTCTCTACAGACCTGTGGCCTCAGGGATCAACTGTCAAGGTGTCCAAGTCAAGGTGTAGTGATTGACTGCTACAGATTTTTTGATTTTTTTTTATTTGAACCTGTTATTTATCAACAGTTTGGACCAAATGTCCTTCTGGATTCTTTCACTGACAGGTCTGAACACATGATGGCGCTCTGAGCCCCACACCTCAGCTTCCCCACTCAACTTCTTCTGACAGGAGTATTTTTTTTTTTTTTTTGTAGCTTCCCCACTCAACTTCTTCTGCTATGCATGTATTTGTTTGTCGATTACACCAGAACACACTGAAAATTAACTGAATAATCCGTCTGTGTCTGGAAGAACGTCTTGACCAGAGCGGTGAACCGATGACGTTCAGAACATCAGGCTGGATCTGTGGCCTCTTATGGCTGAGAGCAGGTTATGACCAGCTGAGATTTCACTTTTGCCACTAGGTGACCTCGTTCTTTTGCACTTTAAGTTTGACGTGTTCATCAGAAAGTGCGTATAATCCTTTAAAATTTATGGGGGAAAAAAAATGAAGCAGAGAAAGAGCTTTGAGGAGAAGATGAGTAAGGTGGAGAAAAACACCTGCGCTGGTTAGAAGAAGACGGCCCAGGGTTTTACCAAATCCTCCCCCCAAAGACCAAGATTAGCTTTGATCTGACATAAATGCTTTGTGGCTCAATACTCCCATAAACCCCCTCTCTCTCTCTCTCTCTCTGCTGGCGTCTGCTCTCATGAATAAAAAGCTCTTCCTGCTTTGACTTCACACCATCTTTTCCTCCTCGTCCACAGGTCTCTTGTATCTTCCTTCTCTGGTCCTTGTAGGAGTGCGATATTCCACCACGTCTTTTTAACACCACCTTATTTATGGTTTTGTGCATTAGTGAAATTACAGTTTGCAGAAACCACTGCAGCGGTGCTCGTATGAATTTTCTTTCTGTAGCTGTGAAAGAAAATGGGTCATAAACCCACCGCCTTCCTGCCCTGGTTAGATCCCGGTCCATTTGATAAATCACACAGGTAATTTGAAGTAGCTCCCTGCTGTTGTACAGAAAAAGAGCTGCTGACTTAGCAAATTCAGAAAATGAAAAAAAAAAAAAAAAAGATATATGATGTTTTATAACATCTGATTTATCGAAGAGCTGTTGATAAAAATAGAGTCTGCGGTCCAGCGGTGGACCCTGGGTTTACACTGGTTAGCTCTGTGTCTTTGAAGATGTTTCAAACAGGAGTCAATAAAACACTTCCTGTTCCACACACGTCTCAGACGCCTCCGATTATTCAGACATGAATTCCCATGAATAATTAACTCCAGTCCATGTGAGGGGAGGACTGGGCGCGTACACGGACTCCTACACCAACAGACTGACACCACAACTTCTCATATGCATGAATGACCTCATCTGTATGCATGTGAGTGACAGGCAGTGACAGCAGCATACTGCTGATGCTGCTGTGCTGATCCCATCAGACCTGAGCGAGGTCACCCCGAGTCCATGAAAAACTTCTCTGGGTTTTAACTGATTCCGGCCGCAGCAGAGAAAGTCTGTCTCAGGTTGAAACTGTCCTGGGTCAAAATATGAGAACAATTCAATGTTTAAATATCAAATAAATCCCATCTAAACCATATTGGACTAAATAATATCAGTCCGGTACAAAAGTCCTAGTCCACGTAACAACATCCACCGCCCTGATGCAGGTGAGCCCCCCCTGGTGACAGGTGAGCAGCACCTGCAGCTGAATGCTAATCTGGCCCTGCAGGACGGCAGCTACAGCCTAACAAAGAAACCAGGACTGACACGCGGCGGCCTCACGTTGCTACGACAACCACCGACAGAATCAGGAATCAGCGCTGCGAGGTCGTCATGACTGTGATCGCCCGCTGCAGCAGAGGCAGTCGGAGTGAAATGAAGACGGGATTTCACTGGAACAAAGAGATGAAGAAAGAGTTTGACGAAAAAGTCAATGAAGACAAAATCAAGAAACTGGAGCAAAAACATAGAAAGGAGAAATTAAAAAGAGGAGGAGATAAGAAACAACCTGATGGGATCAAGCAGGGAACTGGAGCAGGAGGTGGAGGAGGAGGAGGAGGAGGTGCAGGAGAAGGATGGATAGGTAATATTGTGACTGGTATTTACGTTCCAGGCAGGAGAAAGTTTTCAGGCTCTTCAGCACAGACTTCAATCTCCAAAAATAACAACCAGGTCTATTTTTATAAACAGTCTGCGTTTGCTGAGATGACAGTCTGTCAGAGCTGAAACATGGAAACAAAGTCAGGGAGGGACTGGGTTTCAAACAACATGGAGGAATGATGGATGGATGGATGGATGGATGGATGGATGCAAAAAATTCCAAACATTGCAGACACAACGAACGTTTTTCCCATCACAGGTGAAAAAAACTGCTTTGACCCCGAGTCCTTGTCCAACCGTTGACGTTCGCTGGATGCTGTCGTCATCATCCAACACAAATTCATTTCAATCAGGGCTCCATCCATCTCCAGCTACCTGCCTATTCATTAGCGGCTCCCCAGCGGGCTGCTGGGTAATAGACGCAGCAGGCCTTCGGGGCTTTTTTCTCATTAGCCGGTACATTCTGTCCAAACAAAGGACGGAGCAACAGAGGCTTTTAATAACATCCAGTATTCATGTTCCTCTGACGGTCACAGACAGGAACGATGTGTGTTCTCATCAGGAGAAATAAAAACAGGCTTCAGGACAATTACAGAGAAGAAAAACACTTTTAACGATAAATTAATCATTAAAAAGTCTATCTAGATTTTTGATCATTCATCCAAATCCAGTCACTAAACAACAACAGTGAGAACAAAGGTCCAGTAATCAGTGCTGCATCAAAGTCCTGACCTGAACAAACAGCTGTCAACTTCAAAGTGACTGAACTTCAACAGGAAGTTTCCATCAGGGATCGAATCACTGAACAGAATCTCACTGTCTTTGAGAAATGAAAAAAAAAAAAACCTGAGGTCCAAAAGGTTGAACAATCACAAACATCACATCTGACCATGTGATCATTCACCCGTTTCCAGGGTCAGGTGAGAGACGTCTGAGTGTTAAGTCCTTCAAACCTTTTGACCTTCTGACTGTTCAGATATAATTATATCAATTTTTTTCATCCTTTTGACCTCCTGACTGTTCAGATATAATTATATCAATATTATATTCATCTTCATCATCTGTGGGTCACCACTGACCCAGGACCACACCGTGACATCCCTGTCTTCATCAGACATCAGACCCTCGGCCCACCTTCGTCTCCACCTCCTGTCCATTATTCATCCTTCTTCTCTTTGTCTCTCCGTCTCCACTGAGGTTTCCGTCCTCGTTCGCCCTCACAGACCACAGCACACAGACGCAGCCACCGCTCTCCCCGCAGTAACAACACACTTCTCCTCTCTCCTCTCCCCCTCTCTCCCTGTGACTGTCCCCCAAACAAGCTGTGCCAGGTTCAAACCAGCAGGTCACCCTGAAAAAGGAAGCGCCTCCTCTCCAGGGATAACAACCATATTAACAACTCTCCTCCGGGGCTGCTGCCTGACACCGCCGCAGGCAAAAACACATTCATTTTTCTCCACACCTCCACAGCAGCGAGCTGCCACAACACAGCCAGGGTTTGTTTCCAAATTCAGTCTCCGCGTCCAATCTGAAAGTGAAATGAGGCACGGAGGCGGAGGCAGGGGGAGCTGTGTCCAAAACTGCTTTTCAGTCCAGGGAAACGTCCTTGAAACACCTGGATTTCCTTGAAAATGAAAATTGTGGGGCAGTTGGTGACGACAGTTCCACCAGATTTACAGATAAACGACACTAAAGAAATGAGGGCTGTGTGTCGGCAAGAACCTGTGTCACTGTGACATGTGATGAAGAGGAGGAGGACGATGAAGGAGACGACCCCCCCCACAGGTGTGGGAGCGAAAGTGGGTCAGAAGTCTGGGTGAAGAGGAACGACGGCGGCACTGAGGGAGTGTGTGTGTGTGTGTGTGTGTGGTAATTGGTGTGTTTTTTTCTTCAGTGTGGTTTCCTGAGGAACTGACAGAGAAATGGACGCTGGTTCTAAGAGACACAAAGAAAAGATGGTTTTAAACATTTAACCAAAGTCGTCTTTGACGGCTCTGTGTCTGGACGTGCTGGTCAAAGGTCAAGAGGTCAAGTACAGGTGTGTCACCTGTTCCCATCACAGGTGCACAGCTCTATTAACAAACTGTTCAATGTAGAAAGAGGAGAGTGAGCTTCACACACACACACATACACACACACACAGACTTGTACTTCCTGTCCCAGAGACACCTCTCCCCCCTCCCCCCTCCTGTTCTGTTTTTTATGACCTCCTCTGTCATAAATCGACCATAAACGTTGCAGTCCATCCATCATGTCTGCATCATTTCACCACACGTTCACTGACACAGAGACACAGACTCCACTGGTCTGTGTCCCGTCGTAAAGACCAAAGAAAAACAAAGAACACGGGAGGTTTATGACCAACTTCCTGTTAGTCTGTACACACACACACACACACACACACACACTGACTGGCCAGTGGTCGGACGGCCACTTCCTGTTGCAGCTGACCTCCTGCTCTATGACCGCGGTGGAGAACAGTGATGTCACCGTTCCTCCTCACCTCTGAGGGTGAGGGTGGGAGGCAGCTGAGTGATTTCTCCACCGCTCGTTACCGTCTACAACAACAACAACATCCATCATGACAGGAGACGACCAGAAGAACAGCAGGGGGCGGCAGGGAGACAGTGACTGATCCCAGTCTGAGGAGAACATCTGCTCCACAGGTTCACTGTCCTCCTCCAAACCAACACTGTAGAGAGTCCTGTGGTGTGACTGTGTCTCAGGCTGTGAGGAAACATCAAGACTCTGAAGTATCTCCTGATCCTGTATCGATCTCCTCAGTCATTGATCACTTATTGATTTTTTTATCACCAATTCCCAGTCCAATATTCCTGGTGTTGGTTCATTTTCTATCACCAGATTCACACCTCTACCTGATGCTGCAGAAATCAAATACATGACGACAAAATGTGGATCTAGGACCTGATTGGATCCAAGAAAAAGTTCAATTTACCTTGAAGACATTGTCAAAGGAATAAACCCACAGATCAAAGACTGGCTTTGAGGATCAGGGATCAGACCCGTTGTGGGCGTGATGTCCATGAAGGTCCAAATGGACACGCTGCTTCTTAGCTGTCATGTCTTCAAACAGAAATTAAGTCTCCTGCCACTTCCTGTTTTGAAGTCTACGACCTGACACTTCCTCATCTGAACCTCATCTCAGTGCAGCGCTGCAGCCACAGAGGAGGCAAGACTGAAAACCTGATCAGACAATCAGACAAACAATCAGACAAACGAGAGAGAGAGACCGACAAGAACGAGAGACAGAGACAGAGAGAGATTCCTCCTTTCTAAGAAAATACACAGAAAAAGATTTCTCCTTTCTAAGAAAATACACAGAAAAAAATCTGTTAGAATTATTGTTTTGCCATCAAATCTGTAACAACCGTAAATAAAAAAATCCATACACTGCTGTGGAATGTTGATACGGTTCGTGAAATCAATATTTTCTCACTCCCCTATGAGCAATTGAACCAGCAACCACCAGAGATGCTCCATCAGAAGATCTGAACTGAAAAAGCCCGGTTTCAGCGTCATTAAAAAGTTCAGAGCAGCAGCGTCGGCGTTCCCTCCTCTGACACCGGTGACGGACGGTTGATAAACGGTCCTCTGCTCAGACAGGACTTCTGTCCTCAAGTCCAAACTGAATCAAATGACATTCAAAGTCGTGACAGTCTGACACTGCTGCCGTCTCCCAACAGATGGAACCAATTATCCACCGCGCTCCAGGAGAACACTTGGGCGGCAGCGCAGAGCCGAGATGCAAATGAGGTAAAGGGAAGTTAATGGAGGAGACAGTGGAAGGTTAGGGAGCTGTACAGAGAGGACGAACGGGTAAATGATGGAGGGGGGAGGAGGAGCGGGGGGGGGGGGGGGGGGTCAGTCAGCTGAGAGGCCAAACTTCAGGGACGACCAATAAAAACCACAAACAGAAGCAGAAACAGACACAGAGATCACAACCAGGAGTCACTGTTCACACCCTTCAAACACTGCCTCCTCCTTCTGACACGACCTCTGACCTCTCCACCACTGCTGCTGAGTCGCCTTCACACCGAGAAGAGACGAGAAGTTTGAGGGACCAGGAGGAAGCTCATTATGGTCAGACTCAGAGAAGTCCTGCTGTTTCAGGAAGTGACCTTCACCCCCCCCCCCCCCTCCCCAGACTTTAGAGTGTGGTGATTCAAGGTGATGCTCATGCACATTCAGCAGCCTTGTCCACCCACAGACTGTAAACGACCACAGGTGGCGACAGGACGACGTTCCTGAATAACCGGTTCTGAGAACTGGTTTTGTTTTTAACCAGTCGTTTGACTGATGTGGTGACCGACAGAACAGCCGACCACGGAACTTTGTTAAGTCCCCTCCCCCCGTCTGTGGATCGTTCAGACTCTGGTTTGTCTGGACCCGGAATTCCCAGCAACAATGAATGACAACAAGAATGTGTACAGGACAGGAAGTACTGCGTGTAGATACACAGTAGTAGTAGTAGTAGTACTAGTAGTAGTAGTAGTAGTACTAGTAGTAGTAGTAGTACAGAACGTCTCTTCTCTAATCTCGGCTGCGTGGACTTTGATTCCACCACAACTTTTCGCAGCAGTTCTTCAGACACGACCTACGGCAGCGGCGTGTCTCCAACAGCCAGAGGTTGGACAACAAACAGACGCTCACTGTTTGGTTTATGGAAGGCGTCAGCTGGGAGTTGAACCCACACCTGTGTGGAGTTTGGTGGGAATGCTGCGGGAAAATGTTAATGTTTTTGTGATGGTTGTTGTTGTTGTTGAAGAACAGCAGAGGTGAAAGTTCACTTCACTGCTGTTCCCTCTTATCTCAGATCTAATCACAGCAACAATGCTGTGAATGCAGGCGCCGTCAACACACACACACACACACACACACACACACACGAACACACACACACGTCACAAGGTGTCGTTCAGGAGCAGCAGCAGACGGTGTGTAATAAAGGCACAATTACACGTTTTCTACACAGTGAAGTCTGCGAACAAAGGATGACGATGATGATGAAGATGATGATGAAGATGATGATGAAGCCTCCACTGCTCATACTGTCACTGCCGAAACAAAGAAATCCTTCCACACGCAAACAAGTTTCCGCAGCAGATTCAGGAACAAACAACGAGCAGCGTTCTCACCTTCAGACTCTTTCTGTGTGTCGCCCCGTGTCGCCCCGTGTCTCTCCGACCCCGCTCCTCTGCTCAGGTGGACGCAGCAGCAGCAGCAGCAGCAGCAGGAACACAGATCGTGAAACCGTGTCTCCGTCTCGGCCTGGTTCCCGTGGGCGTCTGTTTTTCCTCCTCTGCTCTGAGAGAAAACACGGAGGAGCAGAGCAGGAACCTCCCTCTTTCTCCTCCCTCTGTCGGTGAGCTGGTGACTTCCAGGGGCGGTCGCAGATATTTAAAGCCCCCTCCACTCTCCCCCCCAGCCTCCCCCGTCAATCCTCGTCACAGAGACAAACGGTTATAGATAATAATAAAATAGTTATAATAGTTAACGACGTGTAGGAAAGTGAACAGAAGAATTAGTCTTGATGAGGAACTGATTCACCGTGATTTGGTCCATGACTAGGAGAAAAAAAAAATTAGATGCTATGGCTAACCTTTAGCTCCTTTAGCTGGAGCCAATCCCAGCAGTCATCAGGTGTGGGCGGGGCCACATCCATATTTACACCTATGTCACAATTAAAAACCACAAACAGTTCCAGGAACTGGGGAAGACCTTTGACCTAGTGCAGTCTCAATGCTTTAAAAAAAAATAGAACGGAACCAGAACCAGAGGAATTTAAAACCAAAGACTAGCAGCAGGCACTGAGGACAGTCCCAGGAACTGTCTCTGAGTCAGAGCCGTCTCCAGCGTCCCCTCAGAGAACAGTGTGAACGTGGAGAGTCCTCACTGAGTGTGAAGAACTTCCTGCTGCTGTCAGACCATAATCAGATGCAGCGTGGGGACAATCGGTACCGCGTACAGTTTGTTCCTGTGACTCGCACAGTTTAACACATTGTGTTTATGTACCTGCCAGCCCCTGATAGACCCGGTGCAGTGTCAGCACTCTGATAGATTCACTTTAATTACAGAAGATAATGAATCAAACTCACGACGCTGCAGAAAAGACAACAACGCAGCACGTGACGCCGTGAGTGTCTGATCACAGCGCTTCAGGCTCCGCAGGGGGATTCTGGGTAATGTTTTATGTACACGAGAGTGCGTTCATGAAAATGGAGTCTGATCTGCTAATGTGGACTGCTGGGGTTTTAATTGCCCCCTTCATCAGAGACCTTTGTTTTTAATTGACACTCATTCAGTCGGTGTTTGTCTGATTCCGTTCAGTCCAGATACAAACATCAGAACCATCAGAACCATCAGAACCATCAGAACCTCAACACAACAAGTGAAATTCAACGTGTGTGTAAATATAGGTGACAACATTTAAACATTCATTTGGTGTCAAGTCAACAGAACCAGGTGTAGATGGAACCAAAGGTCAGTCCAGAGGGCCATGAAACATGTAGCTGAGTTAGGCTAACTGTTAGCTCTGGGTGTGGGCTAAAGGCTAACCTTTAGCTCATCCTACAGTCACAACACAGAGACACAGATAGGTGGCGCTCAGACACTCAGTATCAGGGTATTCTCCAATCACATCTGTTAATCACCATGTGTCAGCTGATCAACCACAGCCTGAGAG